TTTAGATAAGTAAAAGACTTAATCTGTGCACACCAAAGCTTTTCCTGTGTTGCAATGAGATTTCAACTTCTTAGTCGCGTCCGACTCGCTTACAAATGAGATAACTGGAAAATTTAGGTGAAAACTACATTTTAGGAAATTATTATGGTTCTGAGTAATGAAGTTCTAATGGAGATTATGACAAAGTTTGTATTTACATTTTATGCATATTAAGAAATAGACAGATATACAGTACCTATATAAAATTCAAATCGACTGGTATCTGATCTGCACTATTTTTATTTGTGTAATTGAATTTGTTACAATCCTTTATCTACCCTGGCTGAGGATTTGTTTGAAGCACAGTACATTGTACTTTGCTGAACTTTTTACCACTGTTTGTAGTGTAAAGTTTTTAGATAAGTAAAAGACTTAATCTGCGCACACCAAAGCTTTTCCTGTGTTGCAATGAGATTTCAACTTCTTAGTCGCGTCCGACTCGCTTACAAATGAGATAACTGGAAAATTTAGGTGAAAACTACATTTTAGGAAATTATTATGGTTCTGAGTAATGAAGTTCTAATGGAGATTATGACAAAGTTTGTATTTACATTTTATGCATATTAAGAAGTCCGGTACTGTACAGTACCTATATAAAATTCAAATCGACTGGTATCTGATCTGCACTATATTTATTTGTGTAATTGAATTTGTTACAATCCTTTATCTACCCTGGCTGAGGATTTGTTTGAAGCACAGTACATTGTACTTTGCTGAACTTTCTACCACTGTTTGTAGTGACTGTTTTGAAAGGAAATGACACATGTACTTAGAGGTTTCTTGTTTGACAGACGAATAACTTACAAGCCTGCCCTCTTGGGACCTTTGCAAATCAAATTTAGCATTGATTTATGGATGTTGCAATTCATCTATTCCAGAAATTAGGTATAACCTCCATGATTTCAGGGATTCCCAACTAAAAATTATTGCATGTCTATAATATTAACCTTCCATTCAGGAATCTAAAATATTTCTTTGATGGCTACAGTGACAATCCCACAAGTTTTCATGATCATTTTGGATGAGCCCTTATTAATCCAGATGCATGCTAATTCAAAGTGCTCTGCTATATTATGTGATGCATGCCATATTTGTATAAACTTTGATGTTGCTGGATTTTAACTATAGGTTCCACTGTGAAATGCCAGTTTCTGTCTTGGTGTTCTTCTCTTTGTTTCTCTATTTTGGAGATTTATTTCATCCATAGTTGTGGTAATGCCTTTGCATTGGTCTGTAGGGAACCATTGTATGTAAACACCTGACACTATTCAGTTGAGTTGTTGAGTTTGTGGTGCAATTAAAAGATCATAAGCTATGCAGAACTGAATGCCAAAAACAAATACTTAATGATGTTTTAATCAAAATAATGGCTGGCAAAATAAATCACTTAGGATTAGAAAAATATTCAAACCAAATATGGAAAATATCTGTACTGTTTATAGCCCTAGATTGTTTAAATGAAATTTTTTGTACTAAAAATTTAATCCAGTAAGCTTATGAGAATATTTAATTAATGTGTATCAAAGAGTATAGAATTGCTAGATGTCCGACTGCCCTGATTTTGTATGCACGCAATGAAATGTTAACAAAATGTACTGCGGCCTATTAGAATTCGAATAGAGTTCGCTCAAAACTCGTCTTTTTGAAATAGGATTACGTTCCAACGAAACCACGAGAGTCAGACCACTTGCAGTTCTACACTCTTTCTATTAGTATTATGAATATTTTCAGTTGAAATTATTTCCTCACTAAGTAATTAACTAATGCATAAATAATATACTGTTCCTGCATTCTTTTCATACAGTAGACTTAATTTGGCTGGTATCTGCAATTATGGAAATTTAAGGGTTTTCATAAGAATCGGTAAATCAGCAATAAACATTTTTTTAAAAATCTTTACTTTATCTTCCACAATCATTGAAAAAAAAAGTCCTTATAATGATATATATCTCATTCATACTTTTTGTTGTATAATCAATGCTGGCCACAGAAGATCTGTGCCTAAATCTAATAGTATTTTATTCATTAAAAAGTGACTCAACATGCACTGAAAATGATAAATGTTTCTGCCTTAAGTATAAGATTTTGCTGCTCTGAGTGATAATACTTGGAGGTGGGACTTGTGCGTGAGTTTTACACCGAACGTATAGGCCTACTTCTGTGTTTTAACATCTGTGGACGTACAATTTTGAGTAATACAGTGTGAGCATGCTGCCTTTGTAATTACTGTAACCCAGGAAAAACAGAGCCCATGGTTTAACTGGACAGGTCCAACATGGCCTTGGCAGGGATATCTAGGTCTGTAAAATACTGTATGCCTTGTTTACATTGCCAAAAACCATAAACAACTTGTAAGTGTCTTTCCATGGCCACAAACCAACTTATATCAATACTACAGACCAAATTTGTAAACATGTAGGATGTAAACAATAATAAACATAGGAAGACATGAACTATAGAAAAACTAGAGCAATTGTGGTTAAACAATAGGAAATTGTTTTAGAACAATTAACTACAGAATATCATGCAAAAGAGCGATATTATTTGCTGGATCCCTCAATACTGAGGATGTTAACATTTTCGTCAGACATGCAGGCATGGAATTTTATTAATTATGACATCAATTTGGGAGACAGCCCTAGCCAACTTTAAGTTAGGCCATATCCTCTACCTCCATACTGGCGTCTACGATAATAGCTAATACTTTTCCATCTCCTTATTTAGGCACATGAGCCAGACATGTGTTCATCACCTCAAAACAGCATTATATTGAGTTTTGTTGTAACAGCGGGCGACAGATCTAGCGCCATGTAATCTTTAATTACATTCACCCTGAAGCTGCTATCTATCAAGTAGATTGATTGATTGACAGCCTGACTGACCATCAGTTTTTAGCCTAGTTTCCTGAGTGCAATGGACTAACGCTATGCTTGTAGCTAGCTGTGATTTTCATGTAATTACCATGAAGTTTTGTAACCTGGTTCACGCCAGGTGAATTAGAATGGTTCCACCCTCACAGCTTCTCGGCTTTCACGCTAGCTACACCAACTTGAAGAATTAATGATATAATCAAATTTAGCTTCTCTGTTTTCATTAAATGATCCTAAGTTAAAGAATAGGTGAACCTTACCTACTATGATTACTTGATGTGATGTGACCCTAGTAAAGGGTCACATCCACTTGCCCTACTACTCATGCATTCATGCTGTAATTCAGCAAAATACTTATGGTTCGGTAAACCAGCTGATGTCTAAAATAATGTTGAAAATAACAGAAAGGTGCCATGATAATAATAATAATAATAATAATGATAATAATAGTTGGTTGACTTATAGGGTGCATATTATGGAGACATCTATGTGCAACATAAACATGAAAAAGACGGATTAAGAAAGTAATACTTAATCTAACCCTTACGACAAACTAAGCTTGCTCTTTAAACTAAGCATGGTTTGGCCCTTGGCTCCGAGGGGCTCATTCGCCCTTTGTTCCGCTATTTTTTATTTTTTTTTATTGCTGCTGGGTGAACATGATGATGTATAGATTAACGATAAAGATGATTAATGAAAAACATAATAAAGTTGAACTTTGTTGGCAGATCAGCAGGATATAATAACCAAAATATAAAACAAAATTAAATTGTACTCTATGACTAAATAAGTTTGTACTAGGCCATTATATATAGCACTTCCATATGTATAAGTTATTGTTACAAACTACAACGGTAACAGTTTAGTTGGCGGTAGCAGTGGCAGATCCTGGAATATTAAATAAAGGGGGCCCAGGGAGGGACTTTCGCAGATGGCCGGAAATGGCATTCTCAGAGTTCAAATTTGAATGTAATTTTCTTTTTTTCTCCAATATTTTACAATTTTGAAAAATTTAGGGTGGTGGGTTGGCTGGGCCACCCCCTTGAATCCGGCACTGCGGTAGCTCTTGGAAAGAAGTTTTGAACTTGAGTATAATGTACGGTATTAGGCCTGTCAGCATGTTCTTTTCAGTATTATTTATTTATAAAGAAATTGTAGGAAATTAAATGCTGTTATTGTGAATCTTGCGTTTATTGTTTTTGATAAAAAGAGGAGTAGAGACCATAAACCAGACCTCTCAGGTTTACGACTTTGCTTTTATTGGTTCTTTGAGCTTGCTTCTGATTGGACAGGGTAGACTTGTGATACTAGTATCATCAAATGAGAGATGACATTTGACAGTAACTACACTATCACATGCTGGTCTCATAAACTAGCAAGTCTTATGCGATTATTTAAAAACTGTGTCATGTTTTAAATTTATAATCAGTCATTTTATGTTATAGGATTCATTCAGTCCTCTTCTATTAATATTAATGTATAACATAAACACAAAATGGTGACGTATAAACACATTCAATTTTATAATATTCTGGAAAAGAAATTAAATTTAATAAATAAATAAACTTTTTTCAATGTTGTATAGTTTCTGTATATTAATTTATTCATTTTTCATCACCACATTTATTTTCTATTGATTATTATTTCAATTTTTTTTCATTTAATGCTTTAATTTTTTTTATAATTCATTTGTTTATTTTTCATTTTATTTCTTTGTAATTAACCAATATGTAGGCCTACTGTAATAGACAATTTTATGCAAGTTTAGGATGATGACACATTACATATACCTATTTAGCCTACAATGTAAGCATTCAAATAGCAGTGTACAAAATAAATGTGAAGCCGTGAAGCCATTTTAATAACTCCCCTTAACTCAGTTTAAAGTCGGAATCTAGAGGGAAAAAAATTGTTGATATGTTGTAAAACTGATTTTTCTAAGACAGAAAAAAGAAAACTAGGGAACGGTGAATGAGTTACAGATTTTTTCTGTCTTAGGAAAATCATTTCTACAACATCACAAATTATTTCTCCTCCGGAGCCTGACTTTTCAATTGTTTTTAATTTTCTCCCTTTCTCATTTTTTTGCAGATCCCAATTATCTTTCTATGAAAGCCAGTTGATGGATCGACTGACCCAACCCTGTTCCGGTCATTTACATCAAAACGTTATGCTATATTACTAAACTACGGGGAAGCTGCCAAACCCAGCAGGGGAATGGTAAGTCACCCGCTTTAGGAGGTGTGCCGAAACAAAGGCTAAGAGTGTGACGTTATGTGGAAAGTAGGCAAGCTTGTTGTGTTGTGATGTATCGCTGTAAGGTTAATGTAGGTGAGACAGTGCCCTATGGTCAAATTCTGCACTCTGATCATAACATTGTTTCTTGGACACCATGGGTATGTAATTGAGTATGGTAGATATGGTTTACAAAATTCAAGAACAATAACAACCAAGAATAATTACCCAGGATAGCTCATTACATTCATGTTATGTTATGCTACATTAAAATTCATAATATTAATAATCTTGCTCCACTAAGTCTCGCCACTTGCTATTGTGTTATTTTTTTTTGTAGTTTTTGTTATTATATTATGTGCAAATAAGGAAAGATAACTGATTGATGAATGTAATAAACAAAGGTCATAGTATATTACTACATCATATTTAAATAGATAGATAACTAATAAGTTAAATATAGAGGGTTGAGCTAAGTAAATTGAAACATAAGAATTGTTTTCTTTCTATATAAAATGTAATATCACCTTAATCAAAGATTAGAACCATACAATATTTTCTGCACCAGGGAACAGACACTTAAAGATGTATTGTCCCATGATAAATACCAAAAAAAAATCATAAAAATATTTTTTTGAAATTAACTTGCCCATTTTGAAGTAACATTATTATATTTTTCTGGTGTAAAAATCAGGGTACACATTTTTTTAATTCAATAATTTCTATGCACAAGTTAATAATTTGTATGTTATTGCAAAATGAGCAAGTTGATTTGAAAATTAATTTTTATTATTTTTTGACATTAGCAAGGGAAATATACATCTTTAAGTAATATGGTACTGTAACTCTTACATTGGCTGGTATTCAATAAAGGCTTTTTTCATAGTAAAACATCTGTAAAAATAAAATCAGTAAAATCTGTGACTTATTCGAAGTTAATAACTTAATGACTGTTTTAAATGAGCAACATAATTTTGTATTGATTTTTAAGGCTTTTTTTTTTCTGGGTTTTACTAAAGATTTAACGGATTCTTATTTTTGGATAAACATTTAAATTAGCTGGTATTCCATTTTATGGATTTTTTTTATAGTAAAGCTTCTGTAAAAATTTAATCAGTAAAATCTGTGACTTATTGGAAGTCAATAATTTATTATCCTTTTAAATAAGCAATATACATTTATATTGAATTTTAAGGTTTTTTTATCTGGGTTTCACAGTTACAGATTATGCATGTTTAACATGCCCTCATTTGCCACATTTGGTGTGCAGAATCCACTAACAAAATTTATGCAAAATGCAGAGACCATTGGGTACAATCTTCATCTAGCATGAAATAGAAATTGGCATCAAGTCATCGGATATTAAATTTCATATTCTTCAATTAACCAGTGTATCTTTTTAGGGTTTTGCATAACTGGATGACTTGTAAACTGTATGCATGGTATCATACTCTTTATACTTAGCAAGGTAATTCTCCTCCTCAAATTTATAAATCTTCAGCAAAAAAATATTACTTTAAGATTGTGTGGTTAAAATTTATAAAAATCCCTAATAAATTCAAAAAAGATACTGATATAATAAGGTCTTGAGCAAGGGCCTAATAGCACCCTCCATTTCTCTTTACCTCACACAATACAATTTTATATTTCTCCATGCTTTGATGCTTCTGGCAAAGTGATTTTGCTAAATGGACTTTTCCAAAATGAAGATCACTGAACAAAGTTTTAAAAAGTCTTGCCTAAGGGTTTAATATGAACAAAGTGAACAATTAAAAATATTAAATTTTAATCTTTATGTTTCTCAAAACAGTTGATAGCCAACACTTTTAAAGAAAGTAAATACTGCCCTCTATAATCTTAAATGCTCATTCTATCTTTTTGACAGATCTAAACATCTGACATAATAGATGGTGTAATTATTGTAGACAAATCCCAAGATGTAGAGATATGATATTTCATATTATATGCACATAATTCACTAGATAGATTAAGTGAAGTTGACCCTTCAAGACCTGCATTAATACATTCTGTTCCGAAGCAAGCCTAGCTAAACCTTTATTATACCTCCCAGGCTAAACATTCATGATGAATGTTCAATGATTTGGGATGATTATTTAAGATATGTTTTATTTTAATAATTACAGCAAGACTATGCCAAAAAACATGAGTTTCGTCCCATCGTTCACCTTACTTTTAGGCTGACAAATTTTATACACAACACCATGAAATTCTGCAGAAATCTAGACATCCTAGAATATAAGCAATGGGTATCAGTGTACTAAGGATGTCTTAATGGAAAGCATTAAATAATTTGTATTCATATATACCGGTAATATGTTGAAACATTGATATTTTGCAGGATCTAAACCCAAGACCCATATTGGAAGACGGAAAACTTGATTGTAAGCTAGGACTCCACTTCTTTTTGCATTCAAAATTAACCTTAAACTGATCTTTGTAATGTTTTGAAAATGAGCTTTAGGCTCTAAAATTGTGATTTTTCTAAATTAATGTGCTACATGCCTGTCACATGATACCATGCTAGCCTGCATAAATGGCCTGGATCAGGTCATTTGCGGGTCAGGTCAGCTCCATATGGATAATATTTTCCAGATGTTAAGCAATAATTGTTAGGGCTCTTTTTTCCAGATGTAAGTGGTCCTTTAGGGGGACACTAGGTCTTTAGAATTACACATGGGACTACTACCAGTGGGTTGTCTTATCATTTTGCAAAATGTTTTTGATAATTCAAGTCCTGCAAAGTTGATGATTTTGAATTTCAAGCATAAAATTAAAGGAATCAAAGTTGTAATAAAACTGAGGCCTGTAATATATAACTTAACAAGTACTGTACTATCAGTATGCTTAGCAGTGATGATGGAATACAACTATCAATAATTATGCTTTTTATCTGATTTTTTTTTTAGCCAGTTTAAATGTGAAATATTGACTGGAATGTATTAGATATGCCATAAATCATTCACACTTAATTAAGATTTTAAAAAATCATAATACAGAATAAAAACGTTTTTAACTTTGACAACCATTGTAAACAAACTTGATGCCATAAAGAACATAAAGCTGGCAAAGACAAGATAATTGGAAGTTTTATCTGTACAGTACTATTTTGTCTTCTAATCTCTACTCATTACAACATGGAGTCCATTGCTCGTTATCATGATAGAGGTCGTTGAACCTTTGGTATCAGTTGACATGCGTCAAAACTAAAGCTCTTTAATCCAGACAGTAGCATGTTTGTTTACGTGAAAGTTATCAACTTCACACTCCTTGACAGCTCATTACCTCATCTTTTAAAGGGTCCTACTCAAAAACGTTGTACTTTAACATCTGAATAATGCCTGATACGATCTTCACCTCATTGTTTCTTTTATTCAAGCAGTATTTTTTATAACAGACTACTGTAATATACTGTACCACATGGTTTGCACACCCAATAACAGAACAGAATTCTCAGGATCTTTACATTTTCAATGGCACAGAAGGATTATTTAGGGCTTAGGGTGTGTATTTCTCACAAAACTCCACTCTATCAGCCCTGTATATGAGACTTGGTTTATTTAGAGCATCTTGTCTTGTTTGTCTTTGAAAGAATTGCCACCTATGGATGAGTAAGACAGTAAGATCACTACTGATAATCCTAGGCTCATAATGCCTACATAATTAAAATAAAAATAAATAAATAAATAAACATGATGTGAACATATGGATGTAGGCCAAAATGTATCACTTGAAAAAATATCTTGGTTAATGTATTCCTTTATAAAGTCTCTTGTAGGTTAATTAGATCATGTACCTCCTAATGACTTTAAAAGTGCATGAGATCTAGGCTAATAAAAAATGCACTTCATCTTCAATTAACTGTAAGTAGACAGATTCTTTAATATCATCACAATTTGTGTTACTTAACCTTTGAAATTTTGTTCAATTATTATTATAATTATGATTCTTTAATTTCTGAGAGAAGTACGATAGGCCTACATAATTGTCATTAGTGACAACCACCAGTAGCTATGGTTATAATACAAAGTAATAAAAAGCCTACCTGTATTTTTTTATTTCATAAATTTCTTAAATTGGCTGGTAATAAATTTAAAGATTTTTGTCGTAAAAAGTCTTTAAATTGACAGCAAAAACTGACTTGTTTTGATGTCTTCATCAGCAGTTATTACATAATTGATTCATTTATAGAATTATAGAACTTTTTTTTGGACTGATTTCAGGTTTAAAATGTTCTTATTATGTTCTTACTTTACACACATTTTAAAGATAGAAAATTATTATTGTACAGCAGTATATTACTGTAGTGTGTTATATAGTCATACCTACTGCACATAAAATGTGTTCTTATTTTTAAAAAATAAGGTTAATTCAATGTTCTATGAATCTTTAATTTGATTATTTTTCAGTTCACCTATGCAGTACCGTATTTTCCAGTGTACTGTATAAGCTGCACCTGTGTATAAGCTACTCCCCCCCCCCCCAATTAGAAAGCGAAATATCACAATTTTTTGTGTCACCTGTGTATAAGCCGCACCTATTTTGAAACTTCAAATCATTCCCATAATGTTAAGTTTTTAATTATTTTGAAACATTGACATTACTTACAAATGTTCACAAAAAGAAATTTCATCTTTTTCGGCCGATTATTAAACAAACAACTGGAGAGTTGTTTAAACTTTTGGCTACCGCAATGAAACAACGTATTCTTGCTCTAGGCAGCTCTAGGGAAATCCCCATTTTTTATTAGACGGTCATGCTACGTTAAATTTTCAACATAAGTTTAGTTTAAGTTTAATAAAATAAAATAATTATTGAGTATATTTATCTATTTTAAACAATCATTCTATTATTATGGTGACTAATAACAGTTAGTATTAATTAGTCTAAAAATATTCTAGGCCTAAGTCATTATTATTCACAGCCCATTGTGCGAAGCATGCACCATCACGCACCATGTTTTATAAACAGAAACAGAACTGGAGAAATATTGTTTGATACAAAGTTTATGCATGCACAGATGACGTATGCCTTTCTACAGTTAAATTCCAGTAAAATAATTATTACAACTTCAAGAAAACTCATGTTTTTATAGCACAAATTAATTTCACAAGTTTTTATTCTAAATTTATAACGGTATCAATATTCTCTAACGGTACAAACCACCAGGAACCAGATGTCGAACTGCAATTTTCACCAGCCCACTTGTGTTTTGTTGCGACATCGAAAATGAAGCTGCTCAAGTGACCTCGAGGACCGCATTAACTCCCGAAAAGTAGTTTGTTATTATTATAGTTATTGTTTTGAGCGAAGCAGTTTCGAAAAGAACTTAATTATTTAGACAACCCAAACCAATGCTAACGTTGTAGAAAATGTAGTAGGAATCCTAGTACAGCACTGCAGTGAGTATAATTACAAATACTAGGCCTAAATAACCGGTCCTACCCTAGGATAATTAATTGAGCTAGCATGGGCCTAACCTAGACAGACGGCGCCTGATTTTCGCCGCGGCTCACGATCTGAACTTCTTGGGAGTTGGTTAATGGCCGGTGTATAGGCCGCACCCCAAAAATTTGCGGCTTATACACCGGAATATATGGTATTTCCTTTTATTTAAAATTAATTTTATTTATTTTTTTATTTACTTACAGTCATAATTTACAATGAAATTATATATTAATATAAAAAAAATTATTAATAGTTTCTTCTGATTTGTAAAATTGACATTTTCATTGAATTTAATTAAATGAATTTAATTGACTTCCTTGTTCTATACAGTACTTTTGTTCTTCAGTTTCTGTTTTTTTCCCCTTTTAGATTTCTTCGTAAATTCTGTAATAATTCCAATTTGAGTAATATGAAATAACGATAAGTTAAATTGGAATCACACATGTTAGTGTTGTTGCTCATTCAGTTTGTATTGCGTCAGGTTTCGTTAATAATCGGTGAAAACAAGTTAATGTTAATTATGTTACCAGGTTATGAGTTACTAATTCGATTTCAGTTCCATTGTTGATTCATATGTTGATTCAATTATCTTATTTTAGATATTGTAATAATTTTGTTAAATTTAGATCTTTCGGTTTCAGTGTGTTTTACAACATATTTGATAGAGTACCTGTAGACCTTGAAATCACTTCTCAGGTTTAAAATAATCTATGTAAGATATCATGATTTCTTTATTTAAATAATAGGCCTATTTGAAGATAAACAAATAACATTAAAAATACAGTACTGAATCTTGATGTGAATCACTTTCGGTGGAGTTTGTTTCATACTTTCTATATAAATACCAGTAGTATAAAAATAATTGTCAACTTGATAGCCCTGTGTTTCATAGTGCCTACATAAAGTATGACAATGCCCATGCAGTCATACTTTTATTAAATGTTTTAAGTCAACATTGATCTTCTAATATTTACAGGTAATTTTTATCATTTTGAAAGCAACTTTATGTTCCTCCAATCACTTAATATTTTAAATATTCTTCTCTACTTCTTTATCTTAAACAAAACATTCACCATTACCTTTATTTATTTATTTTAACATAATGCCTTTTTATTTGCGGCACCCGCAAATGCGGTATGTTTAGCTTTATACTACGTTTAAAACAATACAACTTACATGGAAAAATTAGTAAAACAAAGTTAAAAAAAGCAAAAATAATTGAACTATAAGAAAAAATTTGAAATTATATTAGGGTGAGTATCCATTTTAACACATACAGAACTTACTGTATGTTATGGATACTCCCATAATTTAAAAAAGTAGTTGTACATAAAAATGGTTTGAAAGCTGAATTATCAATGCAAGTATGATAATATTATAAAAAAAATCATAACAAGTATGATAATGATGGTACTGAATAAGATGGAGCATGCCATGGCCTTGGTTTACTCTATCAAACGTACCAATATATAGGGAAAGTCCTGCTCAGTAAGGTAGGAAGGCGGATAGGCCGGAAGGAAATTCAATAAATTAATTTTGGATAGTAACGTCTTTCCAAGTCATACTGATTTTTACTACAGGAAATAATTGGAGGGAAATCGGAAGCAAGGAGATTATAATCTTTTGAAAATCATGTTTTTCATGTAATTTATGTGATTAGAGAATCTGAAACAAACTCTGACAAATGTGATGTAAGCCATTGTGATACCATTTTTTTTATTTATCTATTTATTTATTTATTTACTTATTTATTTATGTTTAAAATTCCAACGCGTAACTCACAATTTCCAACTCACAACTCACATTTTCCAACTCGCAACTCGCATTTTCCAGCTCGCAACTTGCATTTTCCAACTCACAACTCCCATTTTCCGACTCGCAACTTGCATTTTCCAAATTGCAACTCGCACTGAAGTAACACTCAAAATATTGACTC